TATTACGTCCGGCGGCGTTTAGAGCCGCCTAAAATAGGGCGTAATAGTACGCCCTCCGGTCTTAAGGGGTTAAATGCTAATACTACATACAAACACACCCCTCATTCAAACGCAAGAGCTACACACAAACGCAGCCCTGCATTAAATTGCTAATACTACACACAAACACACCACTGCATTCAAACATCAACAAACCTGCATTTGAATGCCAACATTACATGCTGTAAGAGAAGCTCAGATGCCATGGCCTTTTGGAGAGGCTTGCCCACAGACTATGGACCTGTTCCCAAGGGTCCCTGACAGGGGCTTGTGATGGTAGCAATTGAAAAACAAACTATACATTGTTACTGTGATAAATGTGCAGTGCCCTCTGCTGACTGAATAGTGTGTACATTTACATGTATGTACGTAGTGGGCATTGGATGGGATGACCTTTTATCAAACCATAAATTTCCCCCCAAATAAAGACAGACACTGAATCTTGGAAATAACGGGCCACAGCATTTATTAAAAAACAAATACTGCATGACTCCTTCAACGTATAACTTTACATAATACTCTCATAAATAAATAACATGAAATTACTTGCATGATGTACAGTACTTGACCAACACGTCCTTGCCAATCTCATTCCTTCTTCCCAAAGGCTCTCATCTCCCCCCTCGGCATAATAAATTCCTCTTGCCTTTTTGGCACCCCACCAGCAGGCTTTTAGCTCGGTGGGGACACGTCCAACCTGGTGCCTTTTAAGGTTCACCAAAGAGACAGGGGAGGATGAGACCCGGCCATTACCCCCCACCTTCATCTAACCTGCTAAAAACCACCACCCCTTACTTGGCAATGACACCCCCTCCCCCACTGTGACAATGCCTCGGGTCCAAAACACAAAAGAGAGGGTGGGTGGGAAAGTTGTTGCTGGCTCGGCTTCTACGTGCCACTGAGGTCAGTCCCAACTGTCACCACCCACTTCCTTTCATATAACACTCCCCCATCATAACCACAGCCCATCCTGTTTCATCCCTTCCCACACTCATGCATGTGCCCTTGTCCGCTAAGCTGCGCATGTTCCCTGGGGCCTTGTATGTACATAGTGGGCATTGGATGGGATGACCTTTTATCAAACCATAACTTTCCCCCCAAATAAAGACAGACACCGAATCTTGGAAATAACAGGCCACAGTATTTATTAAAACACAAATACTGCATGACTCCTTCAATGTATAACTTTACATAATACTCTCATAAATAAATAACATGAAATTACTTGCATTATGTCATACAGTACTTGACCAACACGTCCATGCCAATCTCATTCCTTCTTCCCAAAGGCTCTCACCTCCCCCCTCGGCATAATAAATTCCTCTTGCCTTTTTCGCACCCCACCAGCAGGCTTTTAGCTCGGTGGGGCCCGACCATAATGCTCCCCACCAGCTGACTTTAACTTGGTGAGGACACATCCAACCTGGTGCCTCTTAAGGTTCACCAAAGAGACAGGGGAGGATGAGACCCGACCATTACCCCCCACCTTCATCTAACCTGCAAAAAACTACCACCCCTTAATTGACACCCCCCACCACAACCCAGTTGTTTTAAGCCTAGAATCAGCGGGGGACCCCCAAAAAAACAACCATGGCCTGTTCCACTGTCTCACAAATGGTCAGATTAAACGGTCGAGCCCGACCTCAGTCAAATAAACCCCATCTGGCTGAAACAAATCTGCCGCTGCCTTCTCAAAAACCCTATGAAAATGGGTATCCCCCAAACCCCTACAACGAACTGTGAAACCAAATGGGTGAACCCTTCGCGGCAGCGCTCCAACGCCCTCTGGCTGTGTGCCCGCCGCCAATAGTTCCTCGTCACAACCTCCAACACGCTTTGCAAAAAACCCCGGAAATGGCACAAGGATCTGGGACAAGTCTCGCTTCCCTATGTCCACCAAGTCTACGAGCGGCACCGTCCCCAGGTTAGTACCCCCCAGGGGGATGACCAGAATCAATGACACCGCCCCGCAAGCAAGAGAGCCTGACCATTTCCAGGAGGAGCCAGGCCCACCCCATGTCCCACGGCGCCGAACCACCGAACCTCCACAGTCGAGTGCTCAATCATCCGCCCCGAGAAGGAGAAAACTGAGCAAACCAGCGGGACGCATATAGGAACAAATCTCCTAAAGTCCCACCTTCCTATCCTCCGCACATGCCAATTCGGCATACCCAGCAGAGAGGCCTCCATCGCATTGCCAATGTGGAGAGAATACCCACCAAACAAATTAAAAATGGGAGAGGAAGTTCCCCTCCTCGTGTACCATGAGCAGGCTAGCCAGTGATGGCCGCACCTCACAGACTCCCTGAACGTCCTTGCTGAAGACGTTGGTCTTGTATGGACGAGTCTTGAAGGACACCAGGTCCTGACCCTCCCGGACATTCGCAAACCAAATCCCCCCCTACCGGCCGACCCGCTCGGACTCACCAATACCCTAATCCTCCTGGCCCCAAAGAATGGAAGAAACGGCGAGGCAAATAAGCTGCACCTCGTTGCCCGAGGACATACCTCTGGGAGCACCTGGCACAAATGTGCCAATAGGGCCCCCAAACCAGCCTCTTTGGATCTGCAGAAACTGACCCCTGCACAGGCCCTGCACTGCCTGCAATACCAGAAACTCCGTGGTGACATCCACCCAACCCTGGGGCTTAACCAGAAACTCATCCCAGACACGCGCGAGGATGCCCCAGAGGGCGACATATCCGCCAAAAACCCAATGCTCCAGCAGTCACAACAGACCTTATAATGAGCAGGCGAACCTGCAAAGACACCCACCTCTGACTCCAGCACCTGCCATTCCACCCATACCCTGGAGTACCTGGCCCAAGAGGAACTGGGCCTACATGACACATTAGGACACGGGCAGTGGAGCACCAGGCGCTGGAGCAGGAGAATTACCGAAAGAGAAAAGGGGGAG